TTTTTAAATAGCTCTTCTAACTCTGCTACAAAAATTGTTAAGTTATTGTTATTTGCGTAAACACTGATAATGAATAGTTGTTTTCTATGTTTAAGGCTAAGTTTGATGACAGTATATTCTAGTGTAGAATTCCTGGCTGAGTTTGGGTGTTCAATTCTTGTGAACTTGAGATTGTTCTTGATGATGATGGCTGTGCCTCCCCCGTTTGTCAAGTTTGGTCTATCATTTCTTATGATTTGGTAATTTTTAAATTGTATATTGTGTTTTTCGCACAATTTCGTTTCTGATAGTAGAAGTATGTCTGGATTTTCATCTTCCATAAATTTCAATAGTTCATATCTTCTCAAGTTTGACGCTATCGAATTCACATTTATCGCTACTAACGTAAGGAGATTATTGCTATCTAAATCTTTCTGGAGTAATGTGCTGTTTTCTCTATTCATTATTGCATCTGTTATATTGTATCTTCAATGATTGGAAGAGATAATCTATTCTTTTTGTGTTTGCGTTAACCTGGCTAGATAAATCATTTATTTGTATTGTAATGGCCTTAATGATATCATTTTTGAAGGTTGTTAGAGTTGCTGTCAGTGCGTCCTCCTTTGTTGTGTTTTCTTGGGTGATGTTTTTTACTATTTTTTCTTCAACACTTGCGTTATTGGCTGATGCTGCTTGTGCATATGTTATCTGCATGGTTCCGTGGTTGTTTATCTCAGATTTTCCTAGAGCTTTGTTGGTTTTTTTTCTGCTGCTATCTTGATATTACTTTTCCTGATGTTGTTGGCGAACTTTATAAAGGGACACCCTATGTACGATGCTGGGTGGCCAACGTTTCCACAATTTGTACATTTTAGATTGACTTTGGATTCTTCGTTTCTGTTTTCTTTAATATCACAGTTTCCTGGTTCATGACTCTGAGAACACTTGACACATCTGTATGGCATATGACAGTTGGCACTTGTATGTCCAATTCGCTGGCAATTCCTGCATTGGTACGAACCCTTTCTTCTTAACTTTTCCCATTTCACTGCTTGGTACGCTATGTATTTTAAGCTTTTTAATGCTTTCGTGTTACTATCGTTTGTGAACTGTACAATAAAGTGGTGCATTTTTTGAGATTTAAGTAGAAACTGGAACTTTGTTACTTTTGCTACTGTTAATTTTTCTATTAGCTTACCTTCTATCTCTTCTTTAATTTCTTCCTCTGTGAATTCGCCTCTGATTCCTTTTAAAAGAAATGTCTTGTTTTTCTCTTGCCTTGGGGTGAAGGTGAAGAATTGATAATTGTCTTCCGTTAAAGTTTGCTTGATTTTCCTATATATTTCTATGTTATGGGCATAGATTGTTGATGTTTCTGCTGATGTTTGTTTTACGTGGAATTCAGTTTTTTCTTCTGTATTCAATGTGATTCTTTGAGTTAGTAGTTTCATATTAGCGTTTTGTACGTGGATTGGAGGCGGTCTTGCTATTTTTTGTTGCGATGCCTCTGCTTTCTCCTGAGGAATCCCAGTTTTGGTACTCTCTGCTGTAAAGTTTGCGTTGCGCTCTTTGAGATCTATATTCTCAATATTGCTGTTTTCAGTTTCCATAATATGAGGATCTGTTGTGCTAGAACTTGCTTTTGCTTTGTTGGTTCTTTTTGGTTTTGGTGTTGACCAGCCTTGCTGACCACTGACCATGTTTTTCATTGGCTTTTTCTTCTCACAGCCATTGTCCGGCAATACATCACCTCGTGAAGAGTCTTGTGTTCTCTTTCTTTTAACCAAAATATTCGGCTTTATTTTTTGTTCTTCTCTAAATAGTTTTTCTACTATTTGTGAATTTCTGAGATCAGGGATTGATCTATTCATTAGCTTACTTATCCTGGCAGGTGGTATGCCTTTGCTATGGCTTTGTTTCTCGTTGCTTCTTGCGGTATTGTGTTGCGCCATCTTGTATTTTGTAATGCGTATGGCACACGCTGATGCGTGGCTGATTTTCACTATTATTTACTTTTGCACTATGGCACTGGAGCCTTTAGACAACCTGGTGGGATTAGGCGGTATGTCACAAGTATGAGACACTTTATTTTGACTATAAGCACTATACATCTTGCACTAATAGTAAAAATTTTCCACCTCGATACGACATGCGTCTTGTCGCAACCGTCGTTATCCCCACTCTCTACCAAGTCGAGCACTTACCACTGTGCTATTGAACCCACTGTCGGACCTGATAAGTCCTATTTATTTACTTTTCGGTCATTCCTAGGTGGTATCCCTTCCAGCTCTGTAACGCCACGTTACAATCAATATAGCATGGACCATTAAAGTAAATTAGGTTAGGTTAGGGTGGAATGTTTCAACCTCGAAGACTGGGTAGGTTAGTGGATAAGTGTATCGTCGCCGACTGAATGAGAGTATTAAATGTTTTAAAAGGTTCCGTCAGATAATGATAACTTACAATATCCTTAAATTACTGATGGAATGTTGTTCAGGAGGCAGAAATTCGCTTTTATGTTCAATTGGGTTTGTGCGCAACTGGGCGTCACCCGATTTCAATCTGTGCGCAAGTGGGCTGTGGGCATCTGGGTCGACGGAGATTTCAGTCTGTGCGCAAGTGGGCCGTGGGCAAATGGTCCGTGCGCATCTGGTTCCGTGGGCAAGTGGTCTGTGCGCATCTGGACACCACTCAGTAATCTACGAATACATAACACAATCAAATACATTTTGTACGTGATGCTACTGTTCACATTGAATTCCCATTTAATATAAGACTGCTTTCAAAATTGTATAGAATTATTAAGTCTTTAGCTCGCACGAAAAGTGTAACAGCATGCATGTAGAGCGCGTGTATATGAGTGTACGTATGTGTGTGCTTCGACATAGTTTCTCGTATTTCAGGTGACAGTTTTTAGATATATAGGATGGTCAAGGGTTTCTTCCCCGTAGTTTCCTGTATCTAGGTGTCGGACATGAAAGTCCAGGGCATTCAGATGATCCGCTTCGTAGTTTTCTGTGTCTAGATGTCGGATGTGAAAGTTCAGTGTGTTCTTAAAAGAACGCAACGAGCGACGCATTAGCGCTTCGTTCACACCATAGTATCCTGTCTGTTGTTCGCACGGGCTGATGTACGTAAATAATCCAACATACCTCTCTTCTCTTACATTTACCACACGACTTCAACAACCTGGAATACCATTAACGATACTTGAATGCACTCAAGATAAAATTTTCTTTTAAAATTTGTGTATATCTTGCTCAATTTCTAAAAATAATGGACTTACAAATTAAATTTATATGCCTTTAAACATTTTTGACAATGCAATATATTTTTTTGATTAGCGACATCACAATGTATTTACATTTTATATCTGTAACAATATAGATTTGAATGCTTAGAGCTTCTATATCCGGTTAAGCAACAAAAACTTGTGATATCCCCCAAAAAACACTTATGTGTAAAAAACTACGCCAAGTACAGGGGTGCTGTGCATTCCTGTAACAAAAAGGATTGAAATCATATTATTAATGCCAAGTATATAAGTCACTACATATCTGCCTATTATATGATCTAGCACTGGCCCATAATTTTAATTGTATTTTCAAAACATTCTTATAACGTTTTCGCTACTATTTTACATTACTACTGCTTTTTGTATTTAATTATGTTTTAATGATCAATTAATAGTTAATAAAACTGTAGGTGATTTCTTATCGAGTACTACTTGGCGAATCTATGCCAGAAATTCTAAAGTATTTACTTTGAATATACTAATAGTATTCTAAAGGTCATATTCAGAACCCGCTCTTAGGATCATTAACAGAGTCACTATTAGTTAAAAGTGACTGTGCCGAGTTGTTAGTGACGGTATTCAGAACTCGCTTTTAAGTCGCTTTTAGCTAGCGATGCGTTAACAGGGAAACAGCATGTTGTAGCACGTACATATTCGATTATACCCGGGAGTATTCGGTGGCATTCGAAAAGCGCAAACTTCATATTTGGTGGAAACTGCAGTCATATTTAAAAATTCGAAATTCAAAAATTCCCTTTCTTGAAGGCAAGCTATCAATATTGAATTAATACTAAGAGGGAATGGAAAGATATAAGAGATGCATAACAGCGGTGGAAACTCACAGTAAAGAACAGTATTTCTTTTTATCGCAAGCGTACGAGTGGAATAAGTGAAGGAAGGTCCTGCCCTCCCAAAGCCCTCCGGGCTCGATTTCACAATCAGTGATATTTGCCTGGAACATTTTGTGGAAGATGAAAATCCCTACGACTCTCCTATTCTCTGAGCATTGAACACGGCCGAAATGCCAAAGGGTGACGTCACGTACAAAACGGATCACGTCTCTCTCGAAAAACTTGTGGATTTCTTACTCTCATTTCATTAACATCGTGGATTTCGTCTACCTCGGCAATAGACTCCATCTCGTCCACCATATTTCAGCGACCTGCCACTTTAAACATGCCCCTTCCAAATGTTTCAAGTTGTAGGAAAGGAAAATCTGCTCTCGCTGGCAGCTCAATATGTTCGTACCAGTAAATCACGAAATTGGCTGTATAACAACTCACAGTTATATGGTGTGAAGTTTACGCATGTAATGTTTTTCCTGCGTGCCCCTTTTGCGATTTTCGTGGGTGGTCCTGTGCAATAGTGCGATAAGTCTCGGATATGAAACGGCGTAGGCAATGTTCGTTTGCTTTAACAGATTCAAAGACTATCACCGTTGATATTCATTTATACTTGATAAAAGAAATTATTTAAAAATTTCGTTGCGAAGGAAGATATTTTATCGATAGTACTTTACGTCATAACACGTTTGGATGTGATGTTTCCTTGTTTTTACTTCTCTTTTGTGTGACAACTCACTTATTCAAAAAGTTGTTGCCTTCTTTCTGTATGATTCAGCTAAACATAAAGTAAAATATTTTTAATTATGTCGTCTTGCCTAGTTACAAGTAAATATAAAAGCGGAGTTACGGATTTACGATGCTTAAAATTCATATCTTTGCAGACAAAGTACCTCTCGAATTATTACCGATGGCTTTGAAAATACGATGTCGCCACATTTTCAAGAACCAATAGTTGAAGAAAGAAATTCACTGGACGCACTTGAAATTTTTATTACTCACGCATATGAAGTCCTTGGATTGTGGAAAGTTTTGTGCGAGGACCAGCTGCATAATGTCATCAGTTGTTTAACCAAGGTAATATGTACTATACGTATAATAATGTTTCTACTTCTACTTTCTTATGTGATAATGGAAGATAGATAATAGTAATTCGATCGATTTTTCACGTCTGAAGTGAAAAATGTGTAACTGCCAAGTATGAATAGGTTTTTTCATGAAAATAAATTAATTTGTACTGTATTTTGTTTGTGCTTTTGCTTCAACAATTTCTTCCTGTGCCTTGAATTGAAACTACAAATTATAACAAATAAACAGCAAGTTGAATAACTTGGAAATATATTAAGAATAAAGATAGCTTGTATTTTAAATTCAAAATGGTCTACCATTTGAATTTAGTTTCCGTTTCGCTATGCAAACAATGTTGAATAACAAATTCGATCATATATAAATATTTGAAAACTTAATTACTGAATTTTAACTTTTTTTTTGCTGAAATGATTTCGAATATGTGAATGCTTCCAACAAATTTATATCCCTCACCGAACAGAAGTACTGAAAACTTAGAGTAGTTAATCACTTGTAAACCACTTTAAGTTTATCAGTGCTAACTTCGTGCTCTACTGGAAATTCTGGATAGTTAACAACTTGAGAGTCCCGATAATTTTCAGTAGATCACTACTGACAAAAAAAATGTTCTGTAAATATTATAGCAATATGAATAATGTATGTGGTTCTTATCGATAATTAAATAGGTAACATTCGGAATTAGCAACAAAATTTTAATGGGTGCCTGTGTAATTCTAACCGTGAGTTACTGCGTGTATACTATAACCGTGTACACATGTTTATCATGAATGGGACTGGAACCTGTGATTGTCACGATTCTAGAAATGAGGAGTATGATACTTCACTCACTTATCCACCAGTCCAATTTGTTACTTTGATTAAGAATTAAAATCGTCACTATTTTAGTATATGGGAACATTGTAAAATAAATATAAAAAGTTTGAATACATTAAATAAATAATCTTTCTTTCACCAAAGCGTCATACATTATCCAAAGAAAGAAAGCAGTATGCAACAAAATGAAGCAAAGAAACATGAAAGCGGACGACAGGCTGGTTACTTAATACTAAGGAATCTGTGCGCCTTAACCTAGGACTGACGTTTGGAGCGTTAAACAGTTAATTCCTACATCCCTACTCTTGCGGGTCGTTTGTGGCGTGGATTGCCAAAAATTCACGTCACACAGTATACGAGCAGTGTTTTGCGGACCCTCCAATTGCGGCAAGACGAACGCATTGCTCGCTCTCATAATTCATCCTAACGGATTAAAATTCGAAAACGTCTACGTATACTCAAAATCGCTTGATCAGCCAAAGTACAAATTTTTACGGGGTGATAAGTATGGGTTTCTCGTGATCGACAAGGACAGCGAGCTCGACGGAGGTAGATACAGAAAAGGATTCGATTGCTTCGTGCACATAAATGAATGATCATTGAAAAAATGAACGCAGTAGTGTTTTGGATTCAGCAACGTCAACATGCAACGCAGAGAATCTCAGGAGCAAAAAGACGTGTTACGTCAAATCGCTAAAGCTAGCGATGCGATTCGCAAAAAGCATAGAATGATAAAATTGGGTAGAGAGAACGTCGAATAGACTATGAGTGAGGTTTTGAAACCGGTAGTGACTTCACTGCAGAAACTAGTGACTGCATCTCAGCCGGAGCGTAATCTTATCAAAGACGAGATTAAGTATGAAATATAGCAAGACGCAAAAGCGGATGATACGTTTAGAATGGCAGATGAATCCTTCAAGTCTCTAAGCAATGATTCTTTCGAGGGAGTCGATGATGAGTAAGTAGAAGATGAAGACGAAGAAGAAGAAGAAGGTAAACATGTTGACGAAGAAGAAGGAGATAACGATGACGCAGACGTACTCGTTGATCAGAACGATCCTATGCAACGGTATCTTAATATGCTGCTATTGAGGCAAAATAAACAATTGGATACCGCCTACGGTGTGCATAAACTCACCAAGAACAAATTGATGATAGGCGATTGGCCTATCAGCTTTGAGGGTGATCGAATCCAAATAGGCGATATAACTTACTTGAAAACTGCGGGTTTGATCAAACTCTTGTTCACGAAGGTACCTGACGAGACTAGTATCACCCAGGATGACTTGGACAATTACAAAAATATTATTTTAACGACGAATGTACGTAGAAAGTACTATAAACCTGATGGTGCAATTCGTAAGAGCAAGAGTTTCAAATTTAATAACGTTATTGCAACAGCCCTCTGTAACGGGCAAAGGTATAGTACCGCGGTACATGATCGCTGCCAAGGACGAACGAACGGATTACGTGTACTGGGACGATCCCAACGAATCGGTAGACCGGCTTCGTCTGCTCCTTGCGTCTCGGGAAGCTGGTAACCCCAGTCACTCCAACGAAATTGTGTCGATTATCGAAGAATTGCGCGAGGCGGGTATCATTTATTAATTCGATAAAACGATCACGATCGCCACTTTGAATATGAGCAACGACGTGTTTGGACGTCAGTTGAGTAGCAGGACCGCGGTTACGAGTAGCCGTGGTCTCCCTGGCGCTGGACTCAAATTCACTGCTGCTGGACACTACGACATTGATAACAAGAGGCTCTGCAACGTCGCCAATCCCGAGGAGGAAAACGATGCTGTGACCTTGAATCTGATGAAAACTTTAGTGAAGCAGGAGCTGATAAGAATTGGCTATTCGCAACTGTCTGATAATTTCTCAGCTGGACGCCAGACTGAGTGCACTGAAAAATGGATGGAAAAAAGTTAGCGGTGGTGAAGGAACTGCATAGACCTGCCAGGAGGAATTACCAGCGCTGGCACGTTGACGTCCGCGGGCTGGACGAGATTTGGCAAGCGGATCTCGTTGACATGTCGGCGTACGCCAGAGAGAACCACGGATACAAGTATCTGCTCACCGTTATCGATATATTTTCAAAGTTTGCTTGGGCCGTGTCGATGAAGAGCAAGAACGCTAAAGACGTGACAGCAGCTTTGAGATCTATATTGGCGAAGGGTCGAATTCCGAAAAAATTGCATGTTGATCAAGGCCGAAAGTTTTACAATTCCGAATTCAAAGATCTTATGTAAAAACACGGTATTACCCTGTACTCGACATTCAGTAAGTTGAAGGCGTCGATCTGCGAGCGCTTTAATCGTACTGTGAAAAGTAAGATGTGGATGCAGTTTAGCCTACAGGGCAATCACCGGTGGCTGGATATCTTATCGGACTTGGTATCCTCTTACAATAGCAGTAAGCATCGCACCATTGGTATGAAACCGACGGATGTGACTGCTCGTAACGAGAAGGAATTACTACAACGGGTGTATAAGAAATTCAAAGTCAAGTCCACACTTAAACGATCAAAGTTTAAAGTCGGTGACAAAGTACGAATCAGCAAATTTAAACACGGTTTTGAGAAAGGCTATACACCCAATTGGACAACTGAAATTTTCACCGTAAGTCGTGTGAAGAATACCGATCCGGTGGCGTATAATCTTAAGGACTACCAGGATCATCCCATCGAAGACGGCTTCTACGAACATGAACTTACCACCGTCATGTATCCTGACATATATCTTATGGGGAAGGTACTGAGGAAACGTGGAAACAAGCTATTTGTGAAATGGCTAGGTTTCGATGGTTTGCACAACAGTTGGATCGATAAATCGAATTTTGAAGGTGTTTGAAATAAAACCAGAACTAAAATATTTGTTACGTCTTATTATTTGTATTTTCTTACAGACTATTTATATTTGTACATTCTTATTATATACATATATATGTATATATATTGTGACGTGACAAAAATTTGCTGTCACATTTCAAGGGTAGCTCTTGCGTTTTTAGGCGTGACGCATTATCGCCACGCACTCTAAGCACCATCACGGCAACACATTACATGGATCCTACAAAAATGTCTAGTATCTTGTATCAACTGACTTTCTTTTTGTATCTTAACTTCTCTTATAACGCGACATAAGGGAACGTGGACGATCACCGCCAACACCTAGTGACGTCCACCCCAGGGAATGAGAGGACCCGCTACCGTTTTGCCGAATGGCTGGCCGCGGAGGAGGCACAGGAGTCGCAGGCCCAGCCGTACCTAGCTAGCGGTACGTGCCAAAGGCCGTAAGCTCTCTGTCCCGAGAAGCGTCTCCCCAAACCTCGTACATGGACAGTGTCTGCCGGGAAGAGGTCTACAGGATCCTCCTGGAAGAACAAACAACCGTAGCAGGCAGAAAACTCGAGGAACCAGCAATACCGAGACGACTGCGACTAGTGGAGGACGCGCCTTCACACACGTAAAGCCAAGGCAGCAAGGAGAATGATCCCGTGGACCCTACCGAAGGGACAGCCAGGAGGCTTTCTTAATATTACGATCCAGGGAAGAACAGTTCCCGTCGAGAACCGGCCCCTTAGATGGGGAAAACGTACACCTCGATGGAGTAACAGCATCCGCATCCTGAGGCAGAGCCAAGGAACCTCGTCGGGGATAATCGCTATCGTCTAATATAGTATTGATAATGTAATATTAATTATCTGCTAGCGTGATGTAAAGGGACCCCTAACCATGTTCAAATTATGACGCGCGAATAAATTCGGCAGAGAGCCAAGGCGTTAGAGTAAGGGAGGGATGTCACCACCTACCGAGCGTACGCGAGCCGATAGATCGCTCTCTGGCTGGCTGTCCGTGGTGGTGAGTAGACGTCTTAGAAAATTCGCTTAATACCGGTGAGTTCTGAGGTTCGATTAACGTGGAATTTTCTTGGCAATCCTGCCGTTTGTTATCGCTCTCGAATCCTTCCGATTCGAGGCTATTTTCGTAATCGGGAAAATTCTGTGGTTATCGTCTCTCTTTCTATTGTAACAAAGAATTGTATAATTTAGACTAGTATTATTGCGTTCTAATTAATAGAGTGATTTTCTGGATCCTGAAGTGTGGCCACTGAGCCTACATATCGTTATTGCTTCTTAATATCGAGACGTACGTTAGTCTATATTTGCTATCG